CATCTCCTTCATGTCTATCTCACATAATTAGAACCTACATATACTCATGGTCAAATCTTATTTCATTCCTTCATAAAGGAGTAGAGACATCAGAATCTAAAAAAGCAAACATTTTGTGAATTTTCACTTATCAGGTCTATTTTCTCTATATTTAGTCACCATAATTTGTTCACAGTGCATTCCCAGGGGCAGTGGGAGGATATATGTACTAAAGTTGAATGGTGAAAACTGGGCACTATTCCCAGAGTAAATTTTAACATGCTAAAGGTTCCTAATTACCTCTCACTTTAAAATTTGATTTTTTTTCCCATTATGCCATGGGATGCTGAGTGAAACTTCCTGTTTCCCTAGAATGGCAAGCTGGAACCGGTAGCTGAAAAAGAAGGGGCATTAAGTACCCTACATTGTGAAGGAGCTTGCCAACCCTTGTGGCTAGAAACCTTCCCAAGGGCTTCAATTACCGCAATGTAATCTGTACCTCTGATTCTCACCTCAAAGCATGTCCTGCTCCTAGCTTCACAATATTTAAAAATATTAAAAACATTTCATATTTAAATATTAAAATATTTAAAATATTCACAATGTTTTAAAAATCTTGCTTAAAAGTAGTCTGGAGAAGGGAGAACAAGGGAATGAGAAAGAACAAAAACTGTTGCAAGGTTTATTGGATTTAGAATGCAGGCACTTCCCAACCAAAGGGGACTCTGGTCTAGGTGCTGAATCAGGGTCCTCAGGGCCACCTGCTAGGCTAGATATTAAGCCCCTCGCTGTCGAATCATGAAGGGCATAGGCGTGAGAGGGCTTGGCACGGGAGCACTGGGGGTGGAGAAGGGAGGGTTAGCTTGGTGACTCCTTGCCAAAGAGTAAAGAAGCATTCCATTATTTCAACAATATTTTGTTCAAATGGGAATTGTCTGTCATTTGAGATGTCATTATTCTCCAGGGACAGTGAATGTCTTACAGAACATTTAACATCGTTGCTCCTTGGGCAATAAATGGTGTTTAAGTTACATTCTGGAAATGGAAAATGTCTTCACACATCTTTTTGTAATGTTCCCTGAGTGTAGGGCAGTACTTCCTGGCTCACCTGGAGTAGGGCACTGTGTAAGTCAACAAGTCCTCTGGGCTCCTGAACAACTAAAATATGGTCTGTGTAGGGAGTCAGTATTTTGATCCCTTCTTGCAGGAAATCTACATGGCCCAGAAGGATTAACAGAGAAGTGGTAGTATTCAACAATAGAAAATTTCTATGATTTGCAGCCAAGAAGGAAAGAGATTTGTAATGTTGCCTTCACACCAACATACTAAAAGAATTGGGCCTACAAGAAGCAAGAGAGAAGACATATCTCTGCCCTGCCCTGATCTGCCCCCCTTAAACAACCAGGATCCCAGCATAATAAATCCATGCCAAAGGGAAGAGGAGAAAAACGCAAGTTAAATAGAGATTGAAATTGAAAGTATAAACTGGACTGAGTTTTAATAACCAAAAATGACCAGTGGGCTATGGAATCTTTCCAAGACTTCATTAAAGAACAGAAAAATAAAGAAATTCAATATAGCATAGTTGAAGGCAGTAACTGGAGAAAAAAAAAATAAACACCATTTCATGTTTATATCCAACAGAATTCAGACTCCTTGATAAGCTAACAGCACTGCATTTTATCATTTCATGTATTGCCTTAATTTGGTTTCCTTCCTTCAGATTTGAACACATAATTATTAAACTGGATTCTTATTTAAGCTAAAGATTTATAGCTTATAAGAGGCGACCATTTTTCTTTTCTCTCAATTATATTCCGTTTATGAGACCTTATGTGTTATCATAAGCATCAGCATATTGGATTTCCTATTTTCCTCTCGTTTTATTAGCTAATAAGGGTCACATAAAATAAATGTAAAACATTCAAGTAACTGCACAATAATCTCTGATATTTACTGAGAACTGCAACATTGCTCAAATGGAACGGATCTTTGACGGGAAGCACCACAACACAGTAACTCAAAATATATGGTATTCATTCCTCGGCTGCTTTACAGCTACTCAACATTTGATCCGTAATAGGCCATTTAAGGCTTTCAGAGTAGAATGTATTAAAATGTAACTTAGAGAAAAGGTGATCTATACACAGTGAAGACCACATGTAGCTAGCAATGCCCCTATCTAATACGGGATGAGGGAAGTGAACAGGGGCCCCAGATTGGGCAATCTAAAACCCACTTGAAGGTTTTTCTTTCTTTAAGTCACTATTCTAATGCCCTTATTATACAATTCCCAACCTTCAAAGCGGTAACATTGAATTATTAGTCATTTAAGCTTTAAGGCAGTAGTTCTTAAACCTTTTTGCAAACGGGCTCCATTGTGGATCTGATTAAAACCCTCTCCACAAAAGACTGCACAGGAATGCAATTTTAATTACAGTTTCAATTCGTAGACCAGCCCTCTAGACTATTCAATGACCCCAGGTACAACAGCTGGTGTTTTCCAAAGGTGTCAGCACTCATTTACACTTTATCCTGCAGTCCCTTTTTATAATGGAAGGTTGACTCTTCCTCACTGGAAGCTGAGAGCTTTGTTCCCTCCTCTGAAATCTGGGGAGACCTCTGGACTATCTCCACCACTGAAATGGAGTGGAGTGGAGCAATGCTTCATGACCTCCAATTGTAGGTCACGAAATGCCTTTTGGTCTAGGTCAAGGAGCTTTTGTCTGATTCTTTCCTGGGATGCCCCCCCCCCCTGAAATGCAGCCAACATGCTATAAGAAAACCCATTTTCTCCTCTGTGAGAAAACCCATTTGTCCTCTGAGAAAGCCTATACGTGCACATGAAGAAGCACTGAGCCTCCTAGGTGACAGGCAGCATCAACTGAGAGCGCAGGGTCTCAGAAGTCTCACTCTCAACCTTCAGGCCTTCCAGCTGAGTCCCCTGGTATTATGACTCCCACTCAAGCCACTCACTCTGTCCTGTCTGAATTCCTGGCCCACAGCTATTGTGAAAGATAGTTAAGTTCTAGTGGTTGTTTCAAGCCACAAAGTTTTGTTATGATTTGTTACAATCATAGTAACTCTAATGCCAGGTTAAGAACTCTTTCTTTAGAAGGGAAGTTTCCCTTAAGAGAAGATTTAATGACACTGAAGCCTCATTTGAGAAAATGGAAAGAGAAAATCAAAAGTCACTCAAACCTAATGAAATTTGTCTATGAAAGTCATTGTATGTATATGTTACTCAGTTTGTAGTTGTGCTTATTAAGAACTCTCAGGTCTATATGTAGTTCGTACTAAGAACATAGAATTAATCCCCCCCAAAAAAGCATCAAAGATCAGCTCAAGAAAATGCCTAGTAAGTATTAGATGAAACAGAATAGGTATCAAAATAGATATCAGTACGAGATATGAGGTGTAGCTAGGCTGTTCTTTGCCACAGTGAACTTTGATGGAAAAAATAAATCTTTTAAGAAGTAAAAGAATTTGTTTAGTTCCCTAAATTCAATCTTGCATATTTATATTATTTTCCTTTTGAGGCAATTTTGTTTGTCTAGTTGTGTGTGTGTGTGTGTGTTGTTGTTGTTTTTAATTCCCAGTGGTGTGTGGATTTTATAAAATTTTTATATAAAATTTTATATAAGCATATATTAAATCTAAAAGTACAAAGATAGATAAATAACAACAACAACAACAACATAGAGAGGGCTCTGTTGGCCTAGTGGACAGAAAGTGATGCTACCAAGCCCAAGGTGGGTGATTTTAATCTATGGCCCTCTGGCCTGGTTTTAATTGTTTCTGGTCATTCTTCTAAGTGGTCTAGCACTGGTCTGTGCATTGCTGTACAGAGGTAACGCGTGGTTGCTGTGATGCTAAACACTGAGACAATGATGTCCAAAATGTGATAATAGTTATCCATGGTGGACAGTGTTTGGTAGAGCTTCCTGATTAAAACAAACTTGGAAGCAGGAATGGCATTCACTTCTGAAATTACTTGCCTCCGGAAACTCTATGAACCAGTGCACAGGTCTTTCATTCTTAGGGTCGCTTTGAGTCGTCTACGACTAGACGGCACCTAACAACAACAACAACAATATTAAATCTAGACGTAAAATGATAGATAAACATCACACAAACATTAGCCAAAAGAAAGTTAGAAAAAATAGTATAGAATATACAATATGGAGAAGATATAAAACAAAGAACGTCACTAAACAGAGAAAGTCACATTATCATATAGGTTTCAATGAACCAGTAAGTGTAGCCATTTCGTTTTGTAAGCCTCTAGTAACATGGTTCTCAGGAGGGGCCAGCCCTGGAGGAGGGCTTCATGAGAAAGCAGAGCATCAGTGAGCAGGAGGAAGACCCTCAATGAGAGAGAGAGAAACCCAGCAGCTGCTGTGGACAGCAATGGATGCAAGCACAGCAGAGCTTGTGAGGATGGCGTGGAAGTGGGCAGTGCATCGTGCACAGGGCTGCTACTGACTTGACAACGAAATACCAGAGGCAGGACCTCTCGAAACAGTGATCACGGTGCTTAGGGGTTAACTGACTGACAGTGGGCGTGAATGTGCCTGCTGTTACAGGAAAGAAAGACGTGGCCAGCTGCTACTTAGAAGACGTACAGCCTCAGAAACCTGACAGAGTGCCTCGACTCTCGCCTCTACAGTTGTTAGGAGTTGGAATCAACTCAGTGACAATGAATTTGGGTTGATTCCTTAGCATAACTTCAAATGCTACATAGCAAAATTGAGATAATGTCAGCAAAACACAACAGACAGAATCCCATAGGTTACTAATAGGATCATACACCATGGACAAGTGGTAGTCATCCTAGAAAGCAAGAATACAACATACTAATGGACTAAATGGGTGACAAAGTGAAGCATCATTACGAAACAGGCCAAGGCCTGGAGTTAGAAAACTGAAAGGGAAGAAACACACTCAGCACTTCTTAAACCAAAAGAATTACTGGAAACATTCAAGCTCGAGTTGCAATACTGAAGGATTTTATGGGCAAAATGTTGAATGAGGTAAAATGTTATCCAATGAAGATGGGACAGATACACAGGATCACTGTACCACAAAGACTAGGTTGAAGATCAAGAACCAGCAACACTAAAGGAAGAATTTCAGGCTGCCCTGAATGCATTGGTAAAAAAATAAGGACCAGGGAATTGATAGAATACCAACTGAGGTGTTTCAGAAACAGATGCAGTGCTGGATAGGCTTACACAGCTATGTCAAGGAACCTGGAAGGCAGCTACTTGGCCAACTGAATGGAAGAGATCCATGTTAGCTCCCATTCCTTAAGAAGGGGACCCAAGAGTGTACATAAACATCAAATAATATAATTAAAACAATATGCAAGAAAAACTTGCCGACGATTACTCAGACATAACTAGAATAGCACACTGAGCAGGAACTGTCAGAAATTAAAGATGGATTCAGAAGAGGCTGGAATAAGGGAAAACATTTCTAATACCGGATAGATCCTGACTGAAAGTGAAGAACAAGAGAAAGGCATCAACTGTGTGAATCTTTAAAATTTATGTATAATATTGAGAAGAATTAGAGTTCAAGAATGCTTAGTTATACGTAAGGGACACCTTATGCATAGACAAAGAAGCAATGTCCAAACAGAACAAGGAAACACTACATGGTTTAAAATCAGGCAAGGTCTTCATCAGGGTTGTATCCTTTCTCCACACCTATTCAATTGGTATATTGTTGTTGTTTGGGGCCGTCGAGTCGTAGATGACTCACAATGACCCTATGAATGAAAGGCCTGAGCATTGTTCATAGGGTTTCCAGAGGCAAGCCATTTAGGAAGTGGATGCCGCTCCTGCTTCCAGGCTTGTTTTAGTCGGGAAGCTGAGAAACTATTATATGAAGAACATTGTGGTATTTGAAGTGAAAGAAGATTCTCATCCTGGGTTATGCAGATGAAACAAACTTCCTTACAGGAAGAAGGATTACATAATTGCAGTGTAGATTATAGCTCAACATGAAGAAAACAAACATCTTTAAAACTGGACCAATCATAATTTATGGAGAAAAGGCTTGTCAAGGAATTCATTTCACTTGGATCCACAATCTACACCTACGGTAGCAGAAACCAAGAAATCAAAAGATGGGTTTCATTGGACAAGTCTGTTGTCAGTGACCTCATTAACATGTCAAAGAGCAAGGATGCCAGTTTAAAGACTAAGGTGCACCTAACACAAGATACGGCGTATTCAATTACTTCATATGCATATGAAGATTAGCAAGTAAATGAGGAAAATCAAATAAGAAATGATGGCTTTGAATTATGATCTTGGCAAAGAATACTGAATATGCCATGGACTGCCAAAAAAAAAAAACCCAAACCAACCTGGCTTGGAGGAAGCATAACGAAGGTGGTCCTTGGAGGCGAGGATGATGAAACTTTGTCTCACTGACCTTAGGCATATTCTCAGAAGGAACCAATATTTCTTGGAATAATAGAAGGTCAGCTAAAGAAACGAGTGACACAGGGACAGCAAAATGCCCTTGAGCCTGGTGGAGATTGGGAGAAGGATACACCAAGGTTTGATGTGTTGTTCACAGCGCCACTAAGAATTGTAGTCGACTCAATGGTACCTAACAACAATGACAATGGCATAAAGAATAAAAGTTCACTTATCTCTATTGACACAGAAAAAGGATTTGAGAAAAGTCAACGTCTTCATGATAAAAAACCATCTCTCAACCAACTAGGAATAGAAGGGAAGTTCTTCAACCTAAGAAACAATATCTTCTTTTCAAAATCTCACAAGTAACATAATACTTGTGAATGAAGGCACCAACCCCAAGGTCAGGAACAAGACAGAGATGCCCATTCTTGCCTCTTCTATTTAACATTGTACCAGACATTCTAGCTAAGCTAGTTAGGCAAGGGCAAAAGCATAGAAGGTGTCCCAAGTGAAACTATCTCTAGCAACAGATGACATCATTTTGTATAAAAACAATCTTAAAGAAATCACAGAGTTTTAAAAAAACCTATTAATACTGAGAAATGAGTTCAGTACAGTAGTAGTATACAAGATCAATATACAAAAGTCAATTATATTTTCATGTTAGAAAGCAACAATGCAAAAATGAAATTAGAAAAACAATTGCTTTTATAATGATATAAAAAGAATGGAATATTGGGGGGGATTTCTCAAAAGAAACAAAAGGCTTCTGAGAAAAACTGGATGAAATATGTTTACGGCATTGAAGTCTATGGGGGAGAGAATAGTCTA